GCCCCCAGACCTCAGCCCAAGCTACATGCCCATACCTTAGTTAGAGCCACGCCCCCAGACCTCAGCCCAAGCTATACACCCTGACCTCGTTCATGGCTAAGACCTCCTGACCTTAGTGCCTCTATCCTCCATCAGGGGTCCTCTACACGTATCTGCAGAGACCACACCAGGAGGAAGAGGGGCCTTTGGTGGACATACGGCATTATAGCCACAGATGGAGGAGGTGGCTGCCTCCACCCAGGTCCATGGAGAGTAATCGGGCCAGTCTGGACCAAGACCCAGACCAGGACCCAGACTCAAGCCAAGACCAGGATGGGACAGATGCTGATCGCTTCCCTGGGCTTCTGCCAGAACTGGATGGTGACAACAGCTCTCAGATAGAGGTATGAAATTGTGGCACAGTTTCTTGAATTGTTTGTTAAATGTTTCCCTAGACAATGTGTTATAACAAGAGCAAATATTTGTTAAACATTTCCAGCTCAAGTTTGTTTGCAGGTACAAATAGCAGCATGGCAGTATTATGTAATACGGTTACATAAAAATTTTGAATTATTCATATTGCTTGAAAATACTAAAACTAATGGGACAATGCTTACATTATACTTAGCAGTTTAAATGGATTTAAAGTTTTTTACAGTTTTACTTTCACGTGGCAGTTTTTCTTGCCACAGTTCAGCAGTCCAAGAGCAGGACACTTCATGCTTACTAGGAGTCCCATGAGGGTTACCCATGTTGATGTGGTCCTTTCTTAGGGCTAAGAACCATCCCCGATACATCCATTGAATGAAAGTCAGACGACCACTTTAAGCACCACATGACACTGGCCTGACCAATCAAATTCCAAGGTTGTCAGCAAAGTGTGATTTCCTATCCACTGCTTGCTGGCATTTCCTTCTGCATAAAGCAGCCGAGACAATGTGCTGCTAACTAGTAAAATAAATAACACAGAAGAATCAGGTATAAAGGTGCAAATACCGAACATTCACTTTTCTTGCTTTCTTTCCAAAAAGAAATCTAAGCCTTCAATCAAAAGCCTGGCTTCTACACCACCCTGCGAGGTGTCCTTTCATCATCACTCTTTCTCTGGGTGGTTCATCTGCAGCCCACCTTCTGGAGGAATCTCTCACCCCTCACTGTGCGCCCCTAATAATCATGATTTGCTTTTTTCTGACACCATATACAGTAACGTTTGGCTTTAATCTTCACCTGTTCGTCAAGCAAAATGTTTCGGTTCAGTTCTGTGTCAAGGATCCAACAGCACGTTCTCTAAAAAAACAGGACCCCAAGACCAGACGCAATGTTTATTGGCCATCTGGCCTCTCATAGAATAAAGCCTGTCGCTCATGTTTCTGTACTAACTTCTGTCAGCATCACAATGGTCAGCATCATCACCGATAACGGCAGCGACGAAATAACCATCATCATCACCCACATGACCTTTTCCCTCACCACTACCACAAGTCATTACAATCCGTACCATCATTACCACTCACATGTTCACCACCATCCATAATCACTACTACCACTAGTCATCATCGGCATCCTTACAATTATCATCATCGCCACCCACATGATCATCATCCACGTTAACATCACGATCACCACAACCTGCACTCATCCTCACTATCATTACAATCAGCATCATCATCTCCATCCACTTGATCATCACTATCACCTCTACTAGCAGCAAAGGCATTTTCAGCCTCATCTTCACCATCACCACACTCTTCTCCACCAACCTCATCACCATGATTATCATCATGCTCATCACTATCACCTTCATCATCCATGCTCTTCCTGCGGGTTCTTCTCAGGCTGGAATCCAGAGCTGCTGGCTTTGTGCACCTAGTGCATAAACCACAATAAGCCTGCAGTAAACTCCCAGCTCGTTACCTTTTATTTTAGCTCCCTGAATGATAAGGCTTACGATGCTTGACCCTGTCCCGACGTTTTACTGCTGTTTCCGTAACAACATGGCCCGCTTGCCTCTGGGATTTACCACCCCAGCCAACCTCTTTATCACCACATCTAAGCATGTGAGCTGGTGGCTGTAGCTTCCCAGCAGACAATGGCACTGTGTCACCAAAGTCATCGCAATGGGGCCCTTGTTGATCCCTAGGGACCTGGACATTCTGATGCTTCTCCTTCCTCCATCTGGGGTAGAGATAGGGTTTGTTTAAGGGATTAATTGTATTCCTCAGGCAAGGAATACATGTGGATTTGGGACTAGCCTGCTGCTGCAGACACATTGTTGTGCAGACACGATAAATCAAAAGATATCCGGCATCCTTTTCAATCTTTGCAGAAATATTGTTTGGGTGAAGATTTGATAGCCATCCTATTTGGGGACAATTGAACAACAAATTGAAGCAGCGCATCATACTGATAAAGAAATAGGCAGTTTCAAACACTTGATAGGTGTAGCACAGTAACTCAAAAAGGATTTGACAGATCTTTTTCAAACCTTGCGAAGGCACTGTATGGGGAACGGACAGTAAGAGATCACATTTTGAAACCGATCTCTTCAAAACTGAAACAGTGCCACATAGTGTTAGCAAAGAGAAGGACAGCCTCAAGTGCAGTTTAACCTGATTACATGGAGATAAGTCACACAAGGTTGGGCTCTTAATGATTTTTTTTTGGAGAGGTGGGGAGATCGTGTCGGGGGTGCTAAAGATTGTAGAGGTTGGGAGGCATGGGAGAAGTAGGAATCAGGTGGGGGGGGGAGGTGATGGGGCCCTTCCAGGGAATATATTGTTGTCGTTCCAACAGCATCTAGATATAAAATGAGTTAATCAGACATCTGTCACTGCTGTGCATTTTAATTCAGCTCCTTTATCTAAAAAGTATTGGGGTCTGAACTCAGGTGCCTTACGTTGTATTTCTTAGTGTGTTTGATGTCTGGGTACTACGCCTTCAGTAATTACTGTTTATAGCAGTGTTTCTTAACCCAGTCCTAGGGCCATGTTTTTGCTGTCTGAGGGTCCCAGAGCACTGGGCTGAGATGCTTATGTGGTGTGCTCGACAAACCCATGGCATTGATCGCATGAAAAAGTGAAGCACAATGTTTTCCTGATGCCACACTGCGGCGTTTTTGCATGTCCTGCCTAGGAGGGTTTGTTTCCAGGGTATATGTACACTCACATCTCTCACTCACATTTCACATAATCTCTGCCCACCCTGCTTCAGAAGCAGCACACACAGTAGCCCTTCGTCTTATGTCACCTCCCAAATGAGGAAGAGGATGTATTGCCTGTATGTAGCTGTACATCCTTCCCAAAGGTATGACAGTCTCTCCTCAGTTTTGGCAGAATTACAAGCTCTAGGCATGTGATCGCTTTCATTTCCTCAACGTCTTCCTGTATTTGGAACAGCGAGTTATACTGATGCAACTTCATTTCCTGAGGGTACAACTACAGTTCCCCTTTCAGGATTTGAACAGGAAACCTTTCTGGCCTTTTTATCTATGTAGGGTGTGAAATTGAGGTGAAATAATGCTCATAGTGTGTATTTGCAATAACTCACAGGTCTACTTATCTGAATAACATCTATTTATTCATTACACATTCTGCTCCATGCCAATCTTTCATGACAAATTAGCATAATCTTTCCCCACCAATCAGATGGTTGTGTCTGTTTGTCTTTAATGTTCATGCACTAAAATGTCATGTTTATATTATGTTTATATGTCTCAGTATTTATAATTTATGTATTACTTCTCACTTGCACTGTGACTAACAGGAAAGATATTTCAGCTCAGTGTATAACACTATGCATCATATATCTGAAGTTGATAATAAAAGGTGCTTTGACTTGACTTTTAACGCTGTGCTTTCACAGTTAGCTGCTTTATGCTAATGAAAACAGTACACACCTTATAAATAGCTCTATTTTCTCCAGCCTTCTGCTATTTAGTTTTACTCTGCAGTGGTATGAACCAGTTTGGGTTTGGGTCCCGAACCTCGCACTGATTTGTTTTTCACTTTAGAATACTCACATTTATTTTCAACACCCAGACTAGCATCTTTAGTATGATTGGCTGACACATTCCCTTCAGTGGATCTGTCGGCTGTTCTGATTTGTTGTCTCATTTGAGGAGCAATTATGGCATCAGGCAAACCGAGTCATGAGGGAAGAATCACATTCTCAGGACGTCTCTTGCTCGAGGCGTGACAGGCTGCGATTCTCCATGAGGCTGTGGTCTTCTACTTTATTCCATTGCCATCATGAAGCTATTAGAGTTGTTGTTTTTTTTTTTCTTTTGACCTTCCGGAATGTCTTTAGAAGAAGAGCCAAGGAAATCTGGTGGAGTGGCGGTGGGAGAGGGGGGGTAGAAGTTTGTTGGTAGATTTTGGAGAACACTCTGGGGTTTGTTAGTGGATTTTGGAGAACTCTCTGGTAAGTGTTGACGCCATACGACCCCATAGTAAAAATTGGATAGCTTCTCTGCCTCCCATGATAGGACAGTTACTATGCTGAAGATCCAGTTGGGGCAATCAGGCAGTAAAACATTAATTAAATCCCAGGCTTTGGAACCAAAGTGTTCGGGATGCCCAGTTGACCTCATCAGAGGCCTGGCAAAGCTGCTGATTGGTCGGTTAGACGCTGGTGGCATGAGAACAGTTGTGGCGCACCGCATCGGCATCCTGCGGTCTGGGGCCCACCGAGGGCGACTCTCCATGTCCCGTGAGGGCATCGCCCGGCGGACATTCGCACGTATCTGTGGGCTGCAGAACGTTCCGGTGGGTGAGGGAATGTAGTGGAATGCAAATCCCTGATGAGTTATGAAGGGGCTGTGGGAATGAGGCTGGCAGCCGTCAGCATGTAACACTGGGTGGGGCCTCTAGGTGTCACTGTGGCTCACTCCGGCCTAGAGCCTGTCTTTATGTTGTGGGGGGGGTGGGGTTGTTCTCTGTGGCCTGGAGTAAAGTCAGAATCTATCCAAACCAAAAGAAAGCAGGGGCTGATCATTATGATGGCGGGCTGCGTCTAGAGAAACTCCAAGGTCCGGCGGCCAGATGAGGTGGGAGTGGGCACAGTCCTCAGGGATCTGGCGCCTTAAGCTTAAGACTATTAGCGTTTGTGTATTTTATTTTAGCTCAACAGTTTGTGTAAAAACTATCCGTCAAATGGGGTTTTCGTTTGGTTAAAATCTGGCTTGGAGGGGGGGGGGTATTTACTGATCCGATTAGTACATATTGATTTGCTTCAAGTGTCCATTTATGTGGACAGGTAAATGTGCTTGTGTAAGATTTGGGGGTTGGGAATGTCATTGAGTGGTCTTAGAGTACCCCCCTCCCCCACAGTAATGCTGGATACCATTTACCACAAAGGTTGGAAGCCGAAACTGGGAATGACTTCACACCTAAGTTAACCGCATTAC